CCACTCCCATCGAAAATTTTACGATAAACCTGATAGTAATAGTCGGCTAATAAATTATCCCAGTGTTGGGAAATCGATGCCTCGAATAGGCGTTGAAAACTATTACATAATAATAATAATAATAATAATATTTATACTGTATTTATATTATACATAGAAATATGTTTTAAAACTCACATAACATAGGCCTGATCTGTGTATTGAAAGTCCGGTGCATAACATAGTGGTGTCAAATAAATAGGCAAATCTGGTCGACCGATATGGTAGGGCGTAAATGGGTCCAAAAATGATTTAAATACTGTTAGAAATACATTGTTTGTGATGAATACCATGTCCTTAAAAATATCGTATAAGCTTTTATAGCCAATACTGTCAAGTATTTGTGTGACAACCATGTTGGCATCAACTGACCGTAATTTGGACAGTAAGGTCATAAACTTGTTTTTAAATACAGGTTCAAATTGCATGTAAAACTCAGGTGTAATCAATTTATCGTATGAATAGACGTCGGCGTAAACGGTAAGCCTATCGTCAAACATATCATCGATTGTGTCGGCATTCATGACATCCCTGTTCACCATTTGCGCCGTTAAGTCGTTTTTTAGGATATATACGACCGGTGTGACCGATACCACCCATAATAAGTACACATAATTACGAAATCCCAAGTCGTCGCCCATTAGTAAAATTGATTTGAAATAAATCATTATTTTACTGAAAATAGATTTATTTTTAGTGTTTTTGTTATTTATTTTATTATAGAAATTATCGGTTATTATGATCATTATAAAGGCCAGGATGAAACAAAACCACACATTTTTGTCAAACACTTTCCATATGTCCATAATCGGTGGGAAAGGCTTGTAGATGTTAGCACTGATGTAATTCATAATGTATCCCATGTATAGTGGTTGTGTACAATTCAATGATTGTACCTGAGTGTGCCAGGTATAATCAATTAAAGTAGTATCTAATGATGTGATTAATCCCTGTCTAACCATTTCATGATTTGATACATTTTGTGGGTCAGCCCATGTCGAGCACTCCATTACATACAGATGGACACTAAATACAAGTAATGTGCGAGTTTTGGTAGGTTATACACAAATTTTAATCTTGATAAAAATACCTTTTGTTAACATGCTTTCCAATGTGAGCTAATACGGGAACTACCAGTGAATTAAAATACGCCGACCTTTTTATACCATTTATATCTAAAAACTCTTTCTGAAATAATTAAGTTTAAAATTTGATTAATTATAATAAATTATTGTTTATTGAATACCTGGTCCTCGTATGCCATCAAATGAAAGCCATTGTCATGAATCGGTAATTCACGGGATTTGAGGTATGAATTGCAGTCAATATAAGACATATTCACGGATTCAATGAATTTATGCCACAAACCAAATGAATGGTTTTCTATGTATTCAAATGGTTTAGCGAATATATATATCATATCCCTAAACGAGGTCATTATTAAATCTGATATAAAACCTAACTATTATTTTAATTTTTATTAATGTAAATATAAATTTTACTTAAATCAAAACTGATCATAGGTACTGCATAAAGATTATATTATTTTTAAATGAGCTATTTATTAGTTTATGAATTGATAGTAAAACAAGTTGAATATTTATGACATAAATTAGATTTCATCTAGAAATTAAAAGTACTACATTAATATAACATTTATAAAAGTACTAACTAAGTATAAAAGTTCTGACCTAATATATAAAATTATCAATACACTATTATTTATTTAAGAAATTTAAGAAACAATTTAATTTTCATATTAACAACACCTTTAAAATAAATATTAAAATGTTTAATTTGAATAATCTATTTTATGTATTATATTGGTGCAAAAGTCCTCGCCGCGACCTTTATTTGAAAACTGTGCTAGCTAAAACAAAACAAAAAATATAAATTTTTACAATTCTTATTGACTTCAAGGCACAGAAGTTATAAGTTTGTAGCAGCAC